CCCCGCCCCCACCCCCACCCCAGGGGCCCAGGAGGACCCTGAGGCCTAGAGATTTGCCCCAAGTTTCTCCTGGACCCTCTGGTACCATTCTCTAGCCGGAGCTTTTCTGGCTCCCACCCCATCTCGCCGTTAGGAAAACAGGAACCCTCCCTTCCAGAATATGGCACTTACGAATGTTACAAACTGTATATTGAAACAGGGTCTCTTGATTGTCACACATCATGTATGATTTCGTTCAAAATAGCACAGGGAAAAAAGGCCTTCTGATTAGGTAGCTTTTACCAAACAAGTTTTTCTCCCCACAATGCCTGAAAAACTGACAGGAAGATTTTTTTTTTTCCCCTCAACACCTCTTGGGTGGGCACAGTGAACCAGTGGGCTGAAGGGCTGGGCATGATCTCCTGGTGGGCTTATAGGTGAGCTGGAGGCGAACTGCAGGGCTAGGCATCCCTCCAGGGTCTGGCTCCCCAGGAGAGAGGGCTCAGGGGCCCCCTATGGAAAGTCCAGCTGTGTTTTCACACCCTTTCCTCTTGGGCATTGCCTGGTGGCGGTGAGCGGGTGTGTGGGTGAAGCGTGCAGAGTTCCTTCACCCAGGAGATGGCATGGGGGGTGGGGCCAGGTCTGCCCCCGGTGGATCACACATGCCTTGCTTTACCTGGATGATTAGAGCTTCCCATGTCTGAGCCACTGTCCTGGTCAGGGACCCAGCATTGTCCCTGTCAACTGCTGTGATGGCTGCTGTTTCTTTCCACACCTTTCTCATCCCTTATTCCTGCTGCCCCGGGTCGGGAAAGGTGAGATGTCAGAAGAGGTCTTTGGTTTCTCACATGCCTGGAAGAGAGATTAATCCCTGCATCAGGAAGAAGCAATGTTTGCAGGAAAGGCTGGGATAGTAGAACATGGACTCTGCTTACTTGGGGTATTGAGAAAGAGCAGAAGAGAAACTCCAAGTGAATTAGCTGGGTCCCAGGAGCGTTGGGCTCTTTGGATCTGAACTAGGGAAAGCTGTGGATTGGTGCTGGTTGTGTTTCTGGAAGGTGCCCTGCTAGTGGAGGGGGGTTGGGGAGAAGAGGGATACCCTGGGGCTGTCCTGAACAGGTGGGCACATGCACACCCACAGGGGGCAATCTCGAGTCAGCTCCTGCCAGTTGAGGGGAAACAGAGTTGACAAGTCTTGTGAATTTTCGAGAAAATTCTCAAACCTGGGTGTTTTAAGTGTGGGCTGAAATTCTAGAAGCATGGTAGAGGTTAGGGATGAGTGCTTTTCCAAGAGGTCTGAAGCTTGACGTCTGGCCCAGTGTGTATGTATATTGGCAAGAGCGTTGCACCATCAGAGAGCCGTGACACACAATTGGACATGGCAGTCACACCCCTTAGCTGAGGAACTAAGAGTGGATGGGTGCCCGTTGTGTCTGCAGCCAGGTGTCAGGGCTGCAGAGGCCACTTCACATGCCTGAGTGTCAGCAGCTGCTTAATGAATTCCCAGCCTGTGGAAAGTCAGACTTTGCATAAAACTTGGCGTATAATTCCATCTACCAAATAGACCCCACAGTTGAGCCTCTGGGGTAATTTGGTGGGGATAGGGCAGACAGGGTCCCAGCCCTCATTCAGGGGAGGCAACAGAATCACCCGTATGGGACAGACACTTGATCTGGAAGCTGCCTTAAGTGCTAGAAAGAACTAGGAGGCGGAACGGGACGCTGGGGAGGGGTGGGTTGTGGGGGAGGGGCGAGGAGCTTCCTTTTCCAGGGGTGGACTTTGAGGTTCCCAGCTGGGGGACGACTTGACCACTGCCACACAGGCGCTAGTGGAAAGTCAGTGGGTCTCTGATCTCCAGCACTTGGCCCTCTCTTGTGTGTCCGCTGTGCAGGGCTGGGACCTGCTAGAGACTCCAGATGATGGGACAGTTTCTGTAGTTTGCCACTCTCACTTTTTCAGTCTGCATGTCTATGTTCCCCCCTCTCCGGGGCCTCAGCAGGTCCCGGGTCACAGAGATGCCGTTTGGAGTCTGTTTGTATGCGAGAGGAGTGCTGTACAGTTCTCAAAGCAGGATCTATTTTTGAAAGTAGTCGCTGACTTGGGTGTGTCATTGATCTGAGCAGTCAGGCAGTGGATGACTCTTGAGCAGTGTGGGATCCAGCAGTGACTCGGTCACTGGTGAGAATAATGTCGCCTAGCGCTCCGCTGGACTGTGGAGTGGGATGCTCAGGTGTGATGGGAAGTCACTTCAAAGGGTGACTTTGTTCCCATGCTGTGAATAAAGAGATGGTATTCGCACCTAGCTGGCTGAGTGGTGGGAGATCGGGTGTTTCCACTTGCACAAAGGCTTTCTTCATTTGGCCTCTAGTATTAGGGTCTGATGTCTTTACTGAGATGGCATCTCCTCTCAAATAAAGCACCGGGACAGATGATGTGGGTGTAGACCTGTGACTCCGCAGCATCAGATGAGGCGTTAAAAGGGAGCAGTTATCCAATTAGTGTGTGCAGTCTAGTTACCCACTCAGCCATATCCAGGAAGAAGAAGACAGGTTCGTGTTTATTTGGGCCAATATAGAATTCTTAAATTTTTAAACATGGGATTTGGGGAGCAAGACAGTTGGCCACACGCTGTCATGCGCTGTGTCCCTCCAGGTTCTAGCTGGCCCTGCGCTAGGCGGGTCACCCAGGTGTATCCCTTTGTGTCCCTTGGAAGGCCGGGAGGCTGTTGGAGGTGACACACACTTAGCACTCAGCCATCCGGACGTGCAGGAAGAAGCATCAAGGAGTGACAGTGGAGGGAGGCGGGGAAATAAGGGGGTGGGGGAATACCAGTTGTGTCTCCAGAAGGAGCAAGCAGGCGTGAATCAGCAAGTGGTTAAGGTGGGGGGAGGTGTCGAGTGGGAAGCTCATCTTCCCTGATTTCCTGAGGCCACGGGCAGCAGCTAGCTGCAGCATCCACGAGTCCTCCAGGTGCAGCCCTGGGCCAGGTGCACGGGGGCAGGGAGTCGGCACTCGGCACGGAGCAGCACTCGGATCAGTGGGCGAGCAGAACTTGTGCAAATCACAGTTACATAATGCTGCTGTCAGGAGCCTTCGCGGGGCCTCGGGAAGGTGCGGCGGGAGCCGGGGTTACGGACTTCGAGATTAGAATGTTCTGGGACCGCTTCACTCCCTGGCCTGAGAGCTGGTGTCCTATGAAAGAGTTGATATCTGTCAGGTGCTTGGAACAGTTCGTGGCATACAGTAAGTGTTCAATAAACATGGGCTTTGTGGTATGTGTCAGCTCTAGAGCTTGTAGCCAGGGATGTCTCCATATTCTATTCCAGTATCTTCTACCTCAAAGTGCATAAGGCCAGGAGTGCCTGGAATTCCAGCAGGGTTTCCTCATGCTTGGTACGTCACTCCTCTGGCCTGTTTCCTCATCTGTGCCAGGAGGGTACAGGGTACACAGCTGCCCTCCAAGACCCTCCAGTTGAGTTTTTGGGCAGGCTGTGGGTCAGTTAGGCTGTCTTCCTATTTGATACAATGAGGCAGAGAGAGGAGGACAGGTGATACCAGGTGGAACTGTGCTGGTGCAGCTCACTTTTGAATGCCATACTTTGAGCCCCCTCTAAGCTAAAAAGAGTCCTGGGTGTATGTGTGCGTGGGCAGGGTGTTGTGGGAGCCGCCTGACTGGGGCAGGCTCTCTCTGATGTCTGTGTTACATTTCTAGAACTCATCCTGATGCAGGCCTTTTAGGTCTCTGAAGAAAGGCTGGCAGATCCTCAAAAGCAGAGACTATCATTATAATGGAAACTTGGACACTTTCCAGAATCGTGTTTGTGGTGAAAATATTGAAGCAGACAGGACAGGCACCCAGGTGCCTGGAAAATACCCCAACGTGGGCAAATAATTAGATACAGGCCAGGCACAGTGATGTTTTTCCTACAGTATGCTGAAACTTGGTGGCTTAGCATTTTCTCATGAAATGAAATATGTTCATGCTGGACCATTTTGTTCCCTGTGGTCAAAAAGATAGTGGTGCGGACGCTGGGGTGAGGCCATGCCAGGACAGGTGGCATCTCCATCCTTCCCAGCATGGGCCTGGGTCTCAGGAGAGCTTCTGTCCTGCTTTTCAGCGTCCTTACAGTTAGCTGTCCTGAGGACTGGGCCCAGGCATCTCTGCTGGGAAGTCAGAACCACCTGCATTTCCAGTCTGAGAGGTCAGAAGAGGTGTAAGATGTATTATTAGCTCATCCTTCATTGATGGGTGTCCCCTTTCGTAACCCCTGTTACCTCACCCATGCTGATGGAAGTTAAGTTCACTGTCACCTTCACGTCTCCGCTCAGGCAAATGTTTGGGGCCCATGATGTGGTTGCAGGTGTTGGATCCCGTAGGCACGTGGCTGGGTAGTGCAGGTTGTGAGTTGAGCCTTTGACTCAGGTTCGGGTCCCTGCCGGGTTTCCTCATTCCCTAGCTGTGACCCTGAATGAATGGCTTAATCTTGCACCTCGGTTTCCTCATCTGTAAAATCGGGTTAATAATCTCTACCTTGTTGGGTAGCTTGAGTATTAGAAATAGTGTAATTCAGGGTTTGGGGGAGCTCCCGACGTTGAGCCTCTTGTTTTGTTTTGTTTTTTTTGGTAGGGCAAGAGTTCTAAATCCATGGAGAGGCAGAGGAGGAGGAATACAGGTGGGGGGGGTGTCGAAGTGTGATTGTTCTTGACGGAAGCTGTTGTTGGAGAATGTGGCTGAGCCAGCGGGCAGGTGAATGGAGAGCTGGGCAATTAGGTAGACTCACCCACAGAGACGGAGGATGGCAATCTCTCCCGGGCCAGCAGCCAGTAAGGGGAAGTGCCTCCCCATGCGGAAAGACAGGGCAGGGTCTCACGTCCCGACCTTTCTTACACATTCCCAGGATGGCGTAGATACCGCCAGGTGTAGACACCAGGAGGGTTACACAAGGGGAGCTCCCTCCATGTGGAAGGAAACATCCAGAATGGTCAAGAAGAGTAGCCCCATGACAGGGAGTATGAATTGCCAGACTCAGTGACTGGCCCATGGTTGGGGACTGGCAAATGACATCTCTTAGGTACGCAGATGTCAGGGGTGGCCAGCGTGTCCACTAGGTGTTATCATCTGCTAACGGATATGACCTGGCTTCATATTCAAGAAGAACGTCTGTTTCTCACCTCTTGCAGAGCGTGGGAGCGATCAGCCAAGTTGAGACAGTGATTAGCTGTAGACCCCAAGGCTGCATCTCACTTGAACACAACTCAGAAGGGGCCAAGGGAGAGGCTACTCCTAGCCTGGGCCGGGAGAGCCTTTCCTTCCTCCTCTCCCTTGGTCCTCTGATATGACTCGTGTTCCTACCAGGCTGGATTCTGTCTTCACAATGAGGCCCTGGCCTGCCAGGCCTGGACTTGGCTGTGCTCGAATCCCCTAGCCACTAGAGAGGGGGAAGCCTCCGGCATCTGTCTGTCTTGCCCCGTCATCATGCTCCCCCCCGCCACTGTCACTGCCTCCAGGAAGCCTTTGTCAGTTACTCTTGTCATCTTCCCTATGTATCTCCCAACCCAACCTTCTTCCTCCGAGCTTCTGCAGTTCCACTCGGTTGAATGTCTCGACCTTGAACCTGTCCCGTGTTGTTCCATGTTACATTTCCCTGTCTGCTTGTCCTGCCTGGCGGACCCCTTTCCAGGAGGGTGTCTGGGCTCACGGCACATTCACATATCTGGACCGACACCGAGTTGCGAGTGACTGTCGTTTGTTGAATTAATGCATCGATTACAAATTATTCTTCAAAGGCTCATTTCTCCTGGAGGTTTGATGCGGGTTTCTGAGTGTGAGTCCAGAAGACAAAAAAGAACTCCAAGTTCAGTAGCGTGGCACAGGGGAGTTAACACTTTTCATTAAATTTCCAAAGGAGTTGAGAACCTCATGTAATAACCTTGGTTTTCCTGGCGTTAGGTTTTTGGACTATTGAAAGGTAGTAACCACAGCTTTTTGTGTCTTGAGAGTCTTGGGGGAAAATGTTATGGAAATTTGGTTGTTGTTTCAGGAATATAAGCAGGAGTCATCAACTCAGGCGAGAAATGTGGGGGCCGGGAGCGTTTCTCATAGCTAGTATAAATAGTTTGGCTTTAAGTTCCATGCTCCTTTGTTTGGAATGTAAATATTTGCATTAAAAATATAAAGTATGTCCTGGCATGTATTTTTAGGGACTATAATTTCCAAACCCCAAATCAGACTATTGGCCTACAGAGGATTCATTTTCTCTGATTTGTGAACCTGTTTATATAAAAAGAGTCTTCAAAATGTATACACCAAGCCCTGTTTGCTTTGTGCACAGAAGCGATCGCCTGGATTACAAGAAAGCAGGGTTGCCCCAGGGGATGTGGGCTGAGGGGTTGTGTTTCTCTCCACACACCTCTGATCATTCTGTTGGGTAAGTTGCCTAAGTGTGGGGGGTGGGATGGAGTGCAGGGGGAGGGGTGGAGGAATTTTAGCCAAGGTCCTGTGGAGTCATCGGTGGGCCTGGCTTTTCTGTCCTTGGTTTCTTGGACATCCAGGTGTGGGTTTGGCTGCAGCTGGTTGACGCCTGTGTCATGTAACCTGACACTTGGTTTCAGAGCTCCTGTTGCTTTAGGAAGTTTTTTTTTTTTAATTAATATTTTTTATTATGATGTTGTGGGGTACAGTTAAGGGTTAGGTATACAAATACGTTTCATTCAGGCACCCTGTTGATAAGAGGTGTCTCCCCGTCCCCAGACAGATGTTTGCTACCGTTAATCCCATCTCCCTCCCCCCCATAGTTTCCCACTACTGTCAGTCATTTTCTTATAGTATTACATTGAATGTTCAAGGTCCATTACATGAGTGAGAACATGTGACACTCGGATCTTTGTTTCTGTGAGAGGTCACTCAGTATTATAGACTCTAGTTCCATCCAGGTGGCAGCGAAATTCATGATTTTGTTCTTTTTTATGGCTGCGTAGTATTCCATCGTGAATCTACAAGGAATTCAAATGTGCTGAAAAGAAAAAAACAAACAACCCCATTATAAAATGGGCAAAAGATATGAACAGACACTTCACAAAAGGAAGACATCTG